TCCATGAATCAGTATTTTATGTAAAGCTGTAGGCATGCTATACCACGGATACAATTGGACATAAAGCTTTGCAGTTTCTAAGGCATATTCTTGAAACTTTTTGATGTCAACGGCAAAGCCACTAGCTAATACCTGCAAGACAACATAGGTTCTGTTTATTAATTTTTCATCCACTTCAAGAATGCGTGCTGATTCCGATCCGTTTTCAAAAAATCGTCGTGCCGTGTTGCCATCGTTACTACTACCATATCCTTGTTTTGGGAAATCAACTTTTAATCCTAAAGAATTTCGAAATTCTTCTTGAATTCTAGTTTTTTGCCTTTGAACCTCATCTTTTTCTTTTCCCGATCGTGCTTGCCATTTTTTTAACTTTATTTTGTAGCCTATGTGCAAAAAACATTCAAAACATCGGATCCAAGCGTGCAAAGAAGAGATTCCGTATCGCAGGTTTGATTCTTCTATTTCCCTTTTACAAATTTCATCGATGTTGTTGAATTCTTTCGAAGTTGCATTACAAATATGACATCGCAAAGCAGAAGCAGTGTTGGTAGCTGCATTGATTACTTTACCATCTGCCATTGTGAAGTGTAAATTGTGTGTGACAACAATTTTTCTCTCGTTAACTGTTGTGGAGAAAGGAACAAGGAACTTAATTTGATTTTCGATGTTTTCTACTTCAGTCTGAGTTGAAGTAGTTGTCTCTTTAAGGAATTGTAATCTAATCGGTCGACAATAACGTGGAGACGATGGTCTTGGGTTTTTCCATAATACAAGATCTGGTTGAGATAAACTATTTTCATACTTCAGTTGCAATGGTACAATTGATGTTAAAAAAACGTGTTTATCAGAGCTATTAGATTCGGAAAATTTTTGTTTGTATTCACTATGGCCTGAGCTGCCATCACAACCCCACTTATATATAAGCTGTAAATTTTCCAGAGTTGCATGTGGCAAAGTCGAAATCACAATTTGTTGAACTTCTAAAAGTCTCTTACAAGTGTGGTCCAGTAATGACTGTAACGGTACTTCGGCATGAGTTTCAGTGACATTAATATTCTCTGGATAACAACGAACTTTAGATATCAGAATGTGTTCATATGAAGGTAAAAATGTAACACCCATTTTATTTTGCAAATTTCTAATGTTTTGATATGCATGTTTAGAAAGTTTTGATCCAATCGTTAAGGCTAGGGCCTCGTCAGCAGGCACTTTGGTATCAGGCTGATTTTCTGTTGCTTTCAAAGCAGTTTGATATTTTTTTGCTTCACTTGGAGAGTCTGCAATACGGCTAACAACCGTAGCAGCCGTATGAGCTCCAGATGAACGAAGGCTTACTTCCGTTGCAAACGCAAGCTTAGCTAAACTGTGATTCTCACGAAGACTTTCCGTTTTTCTCCTCTTTGTTCGTTGAGAAGAATTTTCGAATTCTGAAGAAGGGCGACCACCTTTGTCTGCTGTTGTTGGTAATTCATTTACAACACTATTCTGTAAAATATTGTAGACGGTTTTTTAACTAAAAATCGATGTTACTAACTAAAGAAATTACAGATCAATATATAAACTTACCGAAATCGTTTCAATAACATTTAACCAAGTTTGATTTTTTTTCAAAAACTGTTCAGATATTCTATGTGACTCCGCCCACTTTATTTTTATTTTTGAAAGCAATAATTTCATTTTTTTTTCTTCATCAGGACTTAAAATGACTAAGGCAATGTTTCTTTCTTTGCTAAATCCTTGTTTAAAAATTTCAAATTGCTTTGCAATGTCATCTTGAAAATTATTTTTCAGTAAATTGAAAATTTGTAGCCTTGTAATATACATTCTTGTATCATTGATGGATTCTAAAATATTAGTAATGATTACTAAAGTAATTTAATTACATCCACTGGAAACAAAATGTAATTCAAAGGTTAATATAATTTTTAAATAAATATATAAACTTTTACTTACTTTGCAGATTGTTTAATTAATTTATCACATTACACGTTAATGCTAATGACACTTGTGAATTAGGTTAAAGCCGTGTCAATAAAAAAAACAAAAGAATGACTATTTACACTCAGATACAGAAAAAAAGTGGATTTTACATGCTTTTCGTAAATTTTTCATTTCTCGAAAATTAATTTACTTTTTTTAGCGTTCTTGGTGTTTTTTTAATCTCTATTTAATGTAGGATCTAAATAATTTACTCATATTCCATTTTATTAAAAAAAATTGTAATTTAAAGGAATATGCAATCTTGAAAATTTAAAAAAAATCCATAGTTGAAAATTAAAATAAAATGATTTTAACCACTTCACTGGCAGGGCGTTCCAAATGGCGTTCCAGGCGCCGAGGCCCAGACTGGCAAAAACACCGAAATGGCGTTCCTAATAAAACTTTATTTTTTAAGAGTGTACACTACTTTTAACTTCTACAAAGCAATATTTCTATAGTTTAGACATCAGGGAACAATATTATCACAATAAAAGTTTCAGTTTTTGAGATTTTCAATGTTTCTTCGAACGTTGAAATACTCCATTTTTACCACTTTTCAACAAATGGCGTTCCACTTTTTTTCAATTTTTACGCAGTAAAACTCATATTTTTTATTTTAAAAAAATTTATTTATATACAATATTATATTATAATAATAATAATGTAATAAATAAAAAATAAATATAAATAATTGATAAATAAAATATAATAATTATTAATAATAACAATTACTATTATTGTTATAATTATTATTATAATTATTGCATTATATTATTATATTATTGTATATAAATACATTTTTTTAAATAAAAAATATGAGTTTTACTGCGTAAAAATTGAAAAAAAGTGGAACGCCATTTGTTGAAAAGTGGTAAAAATGGAGTATTTCAACGTTCGAAGAAACATTGAAAATCTCAAAAACTGAAACTTTTATTGTGATAATATTGTTCCCTGATGTCTAAACTATAGAAATATTGCTTTGTAGAAGTTAAAAGTAGTGTACACTCTTAAAAAATAAAGTTTTATTAGGAACGCCATTTCGGTGTTTTTGCCAGTCTGGGCCTCGGCGCGCGGAACGCCATTTGGAACGCCCTGCCAGTGAAGTGGTTAATAATAGTTAACAATAATTAATTTATAAATTTTAACTATTAAAAAATATATAAAAATAAAATAAATATATCTTATTTAAATCTTCATAAGTTGAGATTTTTGAAGTCAGTTGATCAAAATTTTATGTAATTTTTGAAAACTTCAAATAGCGGATAATTTTCATTAATTTTTATGAAACTTCAAATTTAAAAGTGTTTATGATCAATAATTACTATTCTAAAATAAAATTTTAATAAATCAAAAAGTTAGATTTAATATGGTAATTTTGTTTCGAACATTTATCTTATATGTGTACATTAATTATTTTAATCTTTCTGTCCGCTAGATTGGATTCGCCATTTAAAATTTTTGAAAATTGATCTCAGATTCGTAATCAGCGATCCAGAAAACTTTTAAATACCATGTTTCATTAAAATCAAATAATTTTGTTAACTTTCTGTCCGCCATATTGAATCCGCCATCTTGAATTTTTAAAAACTGACCTCAGATTCGTAATCAGCGATCCAAAAAATCTTTAAATACCATATTTCATTAAAATCCAATAATTTTGTTAACTTTCTGTCCGCCATATTGGATCCGCCATCTTGAATTTTTAAAAACTGACCTCAAATTTGTAATCTGCGACCCAAAAAACCTTTAAATAACATGTTTCATTAAAATTTAATAATTTTGTTAACTTTATGTCCGCCATATTGAATCCGCCATCTTGAATTTTTAAAAACTGACCTCAAATTTGTAATCAGCGACCCAAAAAAACCTTTAAATACAATATTTCATTAAAATCCAACAATTAAGTTAACTTTCTGTCCGCCATATTGGATCCGCCATCTTGACTTTTTAAAAACTGTCTTGAAATTTGTAATTATTAGCTTCAGTAACTGTTACACAGTAATCAATGTGAGTCTTTAAATGTATAAAGGTATGTTTGTACACACTTTTGCATTTTTTAAAGCGTTTTCCTTCATTTTGTGTCACTTAATTAAACTTTCCGAAAAAAGTTGCAAATACTAGCAGCTAAATTTGCTTTTATATGAATCTGTAACTATATACCTTCATTTTTATCATAGAAAGAAATCGGAGAACCATGGAGCAAAAAACTTATTGAAATATTGCGATAAAATAATCTATTATTTGCATCGATCTTACCTGAACTCTTAAAAGTATTAATAATTATTATTCTATCGAATTTAATGAACCTATACAAGAAATTCGTAACATATATACTTATAGAAACAACCTCCATATTACACAAATACCAAAAAAAAATTTAGACAAAAGTAATGGGCTCTTGAAAAGAAGTCAAATTTTCTTTGCTTTATAACTTTTAGCCTACTGTGCTGAAATGTCCACTTTGACGTTTTGTTTCAACAAAAGTATGGAGTTTAGTGATCTGTCCTTTTATTACAGAATTCATTGAGTACCTAACTAACTAATCTTCAAATAAAAAATGCAATTTTTAAACTTTTTTTTTGAGGTTTTGTCCAGCCAGATCAGGGTTTCAGACCACTGTGGGTCGTGATGCTGCATCCATTCTTATTACAAATGCGAATGGTGAGGTAACTGTTAATCACAATGAAATTTATCATTATGAAGAAAATAGATATGTAGGACCAGTTGAGGCTGTTTGGAGAATTTTAAGTAAACCTTTAGGGAAAAAAAGTCATAGTATTAATCGTTTACCCATACATTTACCAAATGAACAGAATGTTATTATTCGCGAAGGGAAAGATAATAACAATGTTTCTTTTGATTTACAAAAAAATACAAAATTGCTTGATTTTTTTAAACTTAATGAGCGTGATAGTACTGCTCGGCAGTATTATTATACAGAAATACCAGAACATTATACGTGGATAACGAAATCTCTTGAATGGAGAAAAAGAATTCGTCAAGAAAAAGTATTGGGAAGAATGTATTCAGTTAATCCACGTCAATTGGAATTATTTCACCTTAGATTATTGTTGCTTACAGTAAAAGGAGTTACTTCTTTCCAAAGTTTAAGAACAGTTAACGGAGTTATTCATGAATCTTTTACATCTGCCTGTTTGGCATTAGGACTTATAGAAGATGATAGTGAGTGGATTAGGACAATGGAAGAAGCTACTTTATGGATGATGCCTCGTTCACTTCGACAATTATTTGTACGAATTCTAATTCATTGTCATCCTGTACATCCGGAAAAACTTTGGGAACAATTTAAGGGGCAAATGTCAGAAGACTATTCAAGAATTGGCAATATTGAAGCCGAAAAAACAGCTTATAGAAATATAAAATCAATGTTATTAAATGAAGGATATTGTTTAACTGATTTTCAGGGATTATTAGATACAGATGAAAATTTCTCTGAGCAGGTTGATGAAATAGGTATTTTTGAACATATCAAGATAGGAGAGCAGAATTATACTAAATTAAATGTTGAACAAAGAAATATAGTTGATTATATACTTGAAGGCATAACAGATTCTTCTTTTAATAGTTCTAAATGCTTATATATTAATGGTTGTGGAGGATCTGGAAAAACTTTTTTATATATTACATTATGGCATTTATTAAAAAGTAAAGGAATAAATGTTTGCAATATGGCATTTACAGGCATAGCTGCCACACTGCTTCCTAACGGGAAAACTGTACATAAAGTCTTAGGTTTACCTGTTCCACTGTACAGTGATTCATCTTCAAATATTAAAGTTCAGTCAAAAGAAGCACTCTTTTTAAAAAATATTGATGTTTTTATTTGGGATGAAGCACCAATGGCTCCAAAATATGCCTTAGAAGTTATGGATAAGTTATTAAGAGATATAATGAAATCAAATAAAGTTTTTGGTGGAAAAATTGTAATCTTAGGAGGAGATTTTCGACAAATTTTACCGATAAAAGAAAGAGGTACTAGATCAGAAATAATAAATTTATCAATAAAAAATAGTTACTTATGGAAACATTTTAAAAAATACACATTAACAGAAAATATGAGAGCTTTACCAGAGGAAACAGAATTTGTAGATTTTCTACTTAAAGTTGGCAATGGCGAATTAAACGATACAGATGATAACGTCGAATTACCAGAACATATTATTCAACAAGGAAATATAGATATTGCTGAAGAAATGTATGGTCATTTGATACAACAGAAAAAATTTAAGGATTTGTCAATGTGTGCAATTTTAGCACCAAGAAATGTTGATGTTGATGATATTAATAAGAGGGTGGTAAATCTCTTAGATAGTAAAGGTGAAAAAATATATAAAAGTATTGATTCTACTGAAAATTGTGATAATGGAAAATTTTCTGAAACTTTATTACCAGAATATTTGAATACTCTCTCTCCACCTTCTTTACCACCACATGAATTACATTTAAGAATTAATTCCTTTGTAATGCTTATTAGAAATCTTAGTATTAATGAAGGATTATGTAACGGAACAAGGTTAATTGTTTTAGATTTATCACATAATGTTATTAAATGTCAAATATTAACGGGAGATAAGAGTGGAAATATTGTCTTTTTACATAGAGTAACTTTATATTGTGAAAATTTATATCCGTTTACTTTTAAAAGAAGACAATTTCCTATAAAATTAGCTTTTGCAATGACTATTAACAAGTCTCAAGGACAAACATTTAACAGAATATATATAGATTTAAGAAGAGATGTATTTAATCTCGGTCAGATGTATGTTGCATTATCGAGGGTACGTTCATTTGAATCTGTAAAAATATATTTAGGAGATAATAGAAGTAATATGTATATAAAAAATTATGTTTATAGTGAAATTTTTGAATAATTAAGGAGCCGGATTTAACAAAAAATTATATTATATTATATTATATTATATTATATTATATTATAAAAATATAAAAAATTATGTATTTCGTGAAATTTTGGAATAAGTTATTTTCTAATATTAAAATAACTTCATTTGTAAATTGGTAATTGTGATTCTTTCTTAATCATTTATTTATTTTTCGAATGATTTTTTTCATTTCATATTAATATTATATTTTTAAAAAATAAATTGAGTGTTAAATTGAGAATAACAGTTTCAAATTTACTTGCTTTACTTGAATAATTGTTAATTTAAATTAATTTTATATTTATATTTATTATTTTATTTTAAGAAAATGGCTGGTTTTGATTTTAGATGCATATGAATTAACAACAATTTTGAAAAAGTTTTTTATAAAAAAACACTACATTTTTTTTAATCAGGTAAACAATTTAAAACTCAAAAAAGAAAATTTATTCAAGTGTAAGAACTGACAATAAATATTGTTTTTGAAGAGTTTTATAATTAATATATTTTTTTAATTAATTAAATTTATGATATGTCTATTAGAAAATTGTGTTTTTAATGTTTTATCAAAAATTAAAAAAAAATTTCACATATTTTACCTACTTTCTGTATATGCAACATTAAAAAAAATTATTATTACTCTAATAAAAATAATTGTATATTATTTTTAAAAAAGTACAAGTTGCATTTTTTGGACTTTTTCATTTAATGAATTATTAAAAAAATTTTTTCATCTACTATATTGATGTAAAATACGTATAAATTAATTCATTTTTCAAAAATTAGAAACTCATTGACTTAGAAAATGTTAACTGAATCCGAACAATACTCTCGCACACTTAATAGCTTTCAAATTACAAGAAAATGTATAACAGTATTTTATAGATAAAAAATTATTAAGAAATATCAAAAAAGTTTATAATACTTTTGTATTTGAGAGTATATGTTTAATAATATCAAGTTATGTCCGAGAGACCTAATAAAGTTGTCTAACGTGATGTCTCACTTAATCTGTAAAGTCACCGAAAGAAGAGCCATTATTATAATTATTATCCACTCAAGCCCTTATTTGACATTAATTTATATGCGAGATTAGAGAAAATAATTTTGTTTTCTAAAATTAAAAAATAATTTATGATAATGATGTGAGTTTCGTATAAAAAATTGATTACATGAGTTAAATAGACATTTAAAGGTTCACAGTAAAAGTAAATCTTATTTTTAGAACTATCTAAAATTAAACAAGTCTTGAAAGTAATGGTAGTCTTAGTTTAAGCTTGGCTTGCGTGAAAATAAATATACACCATCTGAATTTACAGTTATACTTCTTATAATAAATATACAACTGCTAAATTTTTAAGATGATTTCCTTAAATTTAGTACAGTCAATGTGCTGATAATCATCATGGTTTGTTCTTTTAAATTAGAAAAATTAGGAAAATTAAATTAGGACAATCGTCCGGGAACGGATGTTTTTTTATTTTAAATAATATTTTTGACATTTCATTTATACTTACACAGTCTTATCCCAAAATTGAATGGCATCTATCGCATCGTTTGTAGAAAACTCCATTTCTATGTCATATTGTCATAAAGAAATAAAAGTACGTTAATGTGGAACAATGTTTTATACGTTTTTTAAATTTATGTTATTTCTTAACGTATTCATTTGTTTAATACAGAAAAATATCTTAGATTTAATCAAATTATTTTATAAGTATCTAAATTTATTTTTTCTATAATAATTTTACTAATTTTCAATAATTATTGAATATATTTTTTTACTTTAAGTAACAAATTAAGGGGTTACCCCCACTTGCAACTTTGAAAAAATCGATTTTTCTTTTATTGCATTTTTTTGAAGCATAAGTAACTGAAAGTATGTCCTGAAAATTTCAAGTCAATTCCAACAAAATTGACTGAGATATGAGCTTTGAAAGAGACGAAAGAGACTGATATATACTGATTTGTATATACATATATGCATCGATAAAATGAATATCTTTTTTTTAATTACCACCATGACTTTTCAGCCTACTTCTGGAAACCAAACTATTACGTACTCCCACTTACCGGAGTTGATTCTATGTAACTTTACAAAAAAATTATTTTCTTCGTGGAAACTGAAATTGAAACTTTAAACGCGTTTTTCTCGAAATGGCATTTCTGAAGTCGGTGACCAAGATTACTCAAACACTAATGAACCGATCTTCTTGAAATTTTGCAGGCTTATTTAATACATAAAAATGTAGTCTTTAATCGTTCGATTTTCTTTTTCGAAAAAAAATGTCCGTTTTATAGCCAAAAAACGGACGTTTTTTTTCGTTAAAATCGAACTTTTAACTTAGACTGTCAGCCATTTTGTGAAAAATAAATATTTTTTTAAATCCTTCGATTAAAGACTAGTTTATACTCATATTTGACTAAATTTATCCACATTTTTTGATTCCGATGATTCACTTCGCCGCAATGTTGGTCACCGCAAACCGTATAAATAAAAATATTATTTCGTTGACGGCAGTTTGACACTTAACTATGTAATATTTTTTAACAAAAAAATTACTAAAAGTTCTTCAATATGTGTTCTTTAAGATGATATAGTTATAGATTAAAAAGGTTTTGTAGTTTTCTTTAAAAAAATTCATAAAAAAGGCTTATTTTTTTGCGCTACAAGTGGGGGTAACCCCTTAATGTTCCTGAATAAATGATGAATATTTTAATATTACACATTTAATTACAGAGTATAATTGTCAATATATTTTACTGCTTTTCAGTTTTATAGCGTATATATTATGATTCAAATTTTTCTAAGTATTCGACAAAAGAACTCATTCCTTCCCTTGATTAAAATTCTAGAAATTTAGAAGCCTTACCATCAAAATAAACATAAATACTTGAGATAAGAAGTAAACATGAGTAAGATTGAAATAAATTGTGAAAATGTATATATCATGGATGTATTATATTTGTCATTGAAATATTATTTCTTCGTTTTACAAAAATTATTGAAGAAATTTTAAAAGAAAGAAAAATAAATTTACAATAAAATTAATAAAAATAATCAATAAATTGTACATAATAATTTTATTTTTTTGAATAACATAACTGATTTAAGCAATTGAAAATCATATTTTATTATGTATATATACAAAAAATAAGATATTATATTGCATTATTTTTTTTGTAGTTTAACTATTAAAAATTTCTGTAATATCAATAGAAGTGTAAATTAAATTTAAATTTTGTTAGAATGTAAGTATTTTTATTTCATCGTTTAATTTAAATATATAATATAATTATTTCTATCTGCATTTCATGTAAAATGTAATTATACAATATTTCAATTATATATTTATTAATTAATTAATTCTAAAAATATTAATATATAATAATAAACATTTCATTAAAGTAAAATATTTAAATCATTGTATTGTGAATTCTAATTTACATTATAGTAATAAACATTTTATTTAAATAAAACATGGGAATAATAATTTCTCACCTTTTTTTATTTTCTTTCTTCCGTCACAATATTAGAACCACTTTTGTACTTGACGTTCAAACGACTTGATTTAGACTCCCGAACTATAGTACATCACATTTCAAATGTGACAAGTAGGGGTATTGACCACACTTTATTCAAAATCATAAGTTTCCGACATGCGCTACGATTTAAATGTAGCATCACACTCATTTAGATTAAGAGTAAATAATTCTATGAATTATAATTCTTTCTAATATTTTTCTATTCTATTAAAAATTTTGCATAAATGACTGATTTGTTAATTAAAAATTTTAGCATAAAAGAATATCGATAAAATAAAATTTGATGTTATGGAAATCAGTTTAAATAAATATGATTGTATTAAAAAAGACAGAAAGAAAATTAAGGTTAAAGAAAACAGTACAGTGTACAGTGTTATAAGGGACATTTAGAGTTGTTAATTAACTGATTAAAATAGTTGTTTATAGTATTAAAAGTGACTAAAAACGAACTGAAAAGGTCATATAACTGTGCAACCTGTATCGCGACAACGTAAGGCTGGTTGCCGTTTCATTCTGTAATTTCATACGACATCAAACTTCAAAATTGTAAGTAACTGTAATTGTTTAAACTAATCATTGTTAATAAATAATCACATAAAAAATATGCATATAATTATTTAACGAAAACCCGTAATTTCTTCAAAGTAAAACGATTCCACACTTAAAAATAAATGTCAAGACTTACCAACTTGATAAATCAGCGAATTATCTCTTTTTTATTTTTTAATAAAACTACCCTTGCCTTAGCTCGAGAGTCAAACTAGCTATTAAAATTACAACACTTTTTAAGAAAATCCAAATTGCTTTGTTAAAAAATTAAAATTTTATAAAAAATAAAACATAAAGGTTATTTTAAAGCTTGTTGTGACTTCACAACTCAAGGAGCACGTAACATTACTGGAATGTTGCAGTAATGTTAAATGTAATGTTAGTAACATTACAGTGTAACATTGTAGTAACATTGCTGTAATATTAAAATGTCAGCCCTAAGGTAGTACTATAGGTAACGTTGCAGTAACATTACCATGTAATGTTACAGTAATGTTCCTGCAATGTCACTGTAATATTAGGGACGCATGATTATTCCCAAAA